AAAAGTTTATTTTAGGCCAGTAATTTCAGGGGTTTTTTCACCTTCCATATCCAGAAAGTCTGGATTCTATTCAAATTTGGAATACTGATCTACATTTCTCCCCTTTTGATCAGAAATAATTTAGAGAGTTTTTGATGACAATGTTCAGTAATGGTAGCCGGCACCATCCAGTTCTTCTGGTCTCATGGCAAAGGAGGCAGTTGTGCATGGAGGCAAGCAGTCACACAGTCCATCTCCTCCTCTTCACATTCCAAGACCCATTGTGCCTTAGATAGCCACTTGCAGACTTTCAAAACCCTACCTACTACTCATTGATTAGCAGGTAGAACAGAAGCATTAAATGAATTGTTTAGGCCAATTACCGGTGATATCCCATGAAAACATGGCCCTAAGGTCTAAAGCAAGGAACCAAATCCCATGAAGTGTTTGGTTGTATGTAAGTAGACTCTGCAGCTAATCTTTCTTTTTTTCTTTCATTTTTTATTTGTCGTTGTTAGTATATCACAGAAGTTTTGCCAGTTCATCTTTTTACAGGTGAAGTCACTTTATTTTTATTAGATACGAGGGGTAATCGATAGCTGGATATTTTCTGAACTCATTTCTTCCCTTAGAATAGAGCTAATAAATGTTTGTTTATAAATCTGTAATGCATGTGTTTACATCTTTTGCATTATCTAGTTACTACAATGCTTGTAAAAAAATGTTTCAGGACTGTATTACTGAACTATCCGTATGATTATTGAAAACTTCATCATGATGTCTGTCGAATATTTTTAAGTTTTGAATACAGCTACATCCTGATCTTCACTGGGATATGGGCCAGAATGATTCAGCTTTAAATGTCCGCCCTAAAGGCAGTTAAAGGAATTGATAGGCAGTTAAAGGAATTGATAGGATCATTATCTAAATGTTGAAATACAGCAATTGTGATGTTGGCATCATTGATGCTAAACTGTTCTTTTCATTCTTGAACTTCTTGATGATAATTATTCATCAGATTATGATGGATTTCAGATCTGCTTCTCATTAAAGATAAAATAATGCTATCTCTCCAAAGAACAAAAGTTGCCTTCCTGTTTTATATATTATATACAAAGAAGTTGTGTATCGTGTAAGTATAATAGCTGTATAAGTTATTCAGAATATATCATAAAGAAAATGCCCTGGATTGTAGCAATGTTTTAGACCATTTGGACTAAATTATAAGGTTATTTATTGGCCACTCGTTCACTCAGCAATGAACAAGACATGGTCCCTACTAGGGTCATGCATTTAAACGACTAATTGACACAGTGGGTTAAGCATTGAGCTGCTAACCTCAAGGTCAGAAGTTCGACCTCACCAACTGGTCTATGGGAATAAGATGAAACGATAAGTTACCATGAAGATTTTCAGTCTTGGGAATCCTAAGGCGCAGTTTTCCTTGATCCTATAAGGTTGCTATGAATTGCAGTTGACTCATTGGAAGTGAGTTTGGTTTCAGGTTTTTCTTAATATGATAACATCTAAGATATGGAGAGATGAGCAAAGTTCTTTGACATCATATGAAAAAAGGGGAAAACTTGTTTTAAGGAAGTTTCAAAGAAGTAGTAACTAGAGTTTGGTGCTGAGTTTTGTCAGGTGAGACTGTGGCAGTGTGCCTCTGTGTGTGTGTGTGTGTGTGTGTGTGTGTGTGTGTGTATCTGCATACACAGCTGTATATAATTATAGTGGACAAGACTATTGGTTGACTCATGTAACACTCATTCCCAAGCTCCTCCTCTTTTGCTATATTCACTGTGGAGGCTGGAGTGGCCATTCTCATTTAAAAAAAAATAATGCTATCTCTCTGTAAATTTCTATGTCAATCTTGATACAATCCTGATATAATCAAGATACATATAAGATATAATCAAGATACAATCAAGATGTTCTCTCCTAATCCTATCAATCCTGATACAATCAAGATATGCTCTCCCAAGATGGCGGCTCCTGGAACAGCTGAGTGTCTTGATCCAGAAAATAATGGATTTCTGGATTCTCCTGCAAATTTCCCAGCTATAACTCCTCCGATCCTCCAAGCATACCTTTATATTTGTTCCAGAGTTCCAACACCATCTCATGAGCCCTCACTACATGTCTACCAGATCCGACATCTTGAAGGTGGAAAGCCTGGTAGTGTAGTGGTTAAGAATTGGTCCAGTGGTTAAAAATCCTCACCACTGGACCAATAAACAACATTCTTATCACTGGAGAAAAGATTGAAGTTGTCAAGGACTTCATTCTTCTTGGATCAACTATCAACACTCACGGAAGCAGCAGTCAAGAGATCAGACAACGTATTGCATTGGGCAAATCTGCTGCACAGGAACTTTTTAAAGTATTTGAAGAGCAGAGATGTCAGCTTGAGGACTAAGGTGTGCCTGACCGAAGCCATGGTATTTTAAGTAACCTCATATGGATGCGAAAACTGGACAGTAAATAAGGGAAGATTGTAGAAGAATTGATGCCTTTGAGTTGTGGTGTTGGAGGAGAATACTGAAAGTGCCATGGACTGCCAAAAGAACCAATAGATCTGTTTTGGAAGAAGTGCAGCCAGAGAGCTCCTTGGAAGCCAGGATGGCTAAACTTCATCTCTCATATTGTATGGAGGGAACAGTCACTGGAGAAGGATGTCATGCTGGGTAAGGTGGAGGGTCAGAGAAAAAGAGAAAGACCCCCAACGATAATGGATTGGCCAGGTGGCATCATTGATGGACTCAAGTGTGGCAGCAGTAGTGAGGTTGGCCCAGGATCGAACATTGTTTCGTTCTGCTGTCCACGGAGTCGCTATGAGTCAGTTCTGACTCGATGGCACCTGACAACAACAACAACAACAATCTCTCTGTAGAACAAGGGTCATGTGATACAATCTAACCAAAGTTGGAAATATATGTTGGAGGCTTTTGTAAATGCTTTTGCTTTCCAAATAGAGACTGATACAGGGGTGGCAGTGTGGGTTAGTGCATTGGACTACAAGGTCTACAGTTCGAGCTCCTCAGAAGCCCTTTACAAAAGGGTCACTATACGTTGGAATGGCACTTAACGACAGTTACTATTACCCTCTTCCAGTCTTGACTATTGCTATCACAGTTGTAGTTGCAGCAGCCACTTTGAGACATTAAGAGAAACCAGGATAAGTGAATTGAGATAGGAGTAGGGCTGAGCCACTAACCTAATACTTACTTCACACTATTTGGTGGTTGTTGGTGGTGATGGTGGTGTTTGTGTGCTGTGGAGTCGGTTTTGACTCATAGCGACCCTGCACAGGGTTTCTAAGTCTGTATATCTTTATGGGAGCCGAAAGCCTCATCTTTCTCCCACAGAATAGCTGGTAGTTTCAAACTGCTGACCTTGAGGGTAGCAGCCCGACTTGTAACCACTGCTTAGGTAAAGAAAACCTTTCTCAAAGCCATTCTTAGGTATTTCTTAGATGTTTCTATTATTTACAGCCAAAATCTTTCCTAACTAATACAGCTCATAAACTACACACACACACACACACACACACACACGCACACATTTTGACATTTTTGCATATTTATACTTAACACTGTATTCTACGCCTAACAACATTGTCAAAGAACCCAAATAAGCCACATAATCATGGGCTTGCTTGTGCTTATTTACTTATCTGTACTGAAAAGTTACAGGTTTTTTCACCACAGTCAGAGAGGGAAAAATACATTGCGAAGAATATCAAATGTTTAAGTGGATTATGCTTGAAGGTAGCTTATGGGGAGATCCAGGAAAGACTAACACTGAGTATCAGTAGGTAGGCTCTGCTGTGCTCCATGGGAAAGCATGCCCAGCTAATATCGGGGTCTGACCAAGTGGTGAAGAAGCCTAAGTCCTAGTCCATCAGTGTGCATTCCTGTGTCTTCATAACTAAGAGGTCATCATCACTTGTGCTCATTTGACAATCTAGTTTGCCTAACAACAAGATTATTTTTGTGTTTTTTTTTTTTTTATTTGGGATAAGGGTAGACACTACTTTTCTTTAGAGAAGTTTAGGGAAGCTTGCAACATAACGTATTGGTCATAGTAGATCTTGTATGAAAGATTCCATCTAATGAGCAAGAGCTCTTTAATGGACTCTAACCCTCGACGTGGATTTCTGGTGTGGCTACAGTTAAGCACTGGACTTTGAACCACAAAGTCAGCAGTTCAAACCCACCAGCTATTCCTCAGAAACCCTGCACAGGGTCACTATAAATCAGAACTGCTCAATGGCACTTAACAACAGCAGCAAGATTCTACTACCTAAAAATTTGTAGAAGAACATGAAATACACTATTTTTGTGAGACGCATGCTATCACTTTGTTTATTGCTCTCTTCCGTGTCATTTCTAAGTGTATCATGTGTACCTATTTCTTACATTCAATTATATTATATTGCATTCTGTTACAAGGAGCTCTGGTAGCATAGTGGTTACGAATCAGGCTGCGAACCTCAGGGACAGCAGTTCGAAACTACCAGCTGCTCCATGGAAGAAAGATGAGGCTTTCTGCTCCCATAAAGATTTACAGCCTCGGAAACCCTGTACAGGGTTGCTGTGAGTCAGAACTGTCTCCACGGCACATAACAACAACAGCAACATTACATTTTAATAGTACCAGTATATATCCTCGCTCTTCTTCAAATAGATTGATTCTTTATTATGGTGATCTTCCACAAAATTTTTTTTTTTTTGGTTGGTTTTCTAGCTGCCTCTTTCTTTTTAACTGACTTTTGATTATCCGTCTTCTGTTGTATATGTTTTTCTTAGTTGTGTAAGGTAGCCTCAGTCTCATGGCATAACTACTGGATGAAAGTGATGGGGCTTAAGAGGGAAAACTCAAAGGGATAGGTGAAGTTTACAGAAAAGTCCATGAATTATCAGTGTTTCATTTAAATACACGTAAAGATACACTCTAATTTTTAGTTCTTAAAAAATCTAAACTGATTGTCTGTAAAAATGTTTTACCACTGTTTTCCTTAGAATCTTCAGCTACTTGGAGCTACGGCCATTGAAGATAAATTACAAGATCAAGTGCCTGAAACCATAGAGACTCTAATGAAAGCAGACATCAAAATCTGGATCCTTACAGGAGACAAGCAAGAAACTGCCATTAACATTGGTAATTCACTTAGCTCAAGCTTTAAATCTTGATGCTTTTAGCAGGTTGATATATTTTAGAAGATGGATTTGAAATATTTCAAAATTTGAAAGAGCTGCAATTTTATTAAGCGTATCTATTTACTTTTGACCCAAGTGCCACTGCAAATTGCAATGTTATATACAGAGTCCTGGTATGACACTGTAGGATAAGCACTGGACTGCTATCCACAAGGTCAGTGGTTCAGACCCACCAGCTACTCATCAGAAATCCTTTACAGGATCGCTATGAGTTGGAACTGACTTGATGGCACTTTACCACAAGGCACTTAACAACAATAACGAAAACATTTACTTTTATACCCAGTGCCCCTGTAAAATTGCAATATTACGTATATACCCAAGTTTTTTAACTCTCATAACCAAGTAGTGTGTTCTCTCTCCTTTGCATGTATCCCCGCCTACCCCACTTCCTATCCATAAGTAATACAGGTAGATGTTGTTATTGTGAGTCAGTGCCAGTGAGTCAGTTCTGACTCATAGCCACCCCGTATAGGATTTCTGACGAACGACTGATGAATTTGAACTGTCAGCCATGCAGTTCAAACCAACCTTATGGTCAAGTGCTTATCTAACACCAGGACTCCAACACATGTAGACAGCATTCTGCAGTTGTCAGTTTATGTGACCAAAGGTTATTTCTCAGATGTCACTGTACCATCAAGTGTGTTCAGACTCATATTGACCCTGTATAGGATTCCTGAGGCTAAAACTCTTAACAGGAGCCAAAGCATCTTCTTTCTCCCATGGAGCAGTTGGTGGTTTGAACTGCTGACCTTGTGGTTAGGAGTCTGGTACCTCTCCCACAGTGCCACAAGCGCTCCTATTTCTGAGATACGAAGTTAAGAATGTTGCCACTTGTCATCCATCCTGCATTTAATTTGTTTCTTTTCTTAGAAAGAGGTCTTAATGTGACAAAACTGTTTTTGTTTTGTTTTGTTTTAGAGGTCTATTGTAGCAATAATATTAAAGAAAACATAGCTTCCCACCACCATCCCCCACACACACACCCCAGGATCAGTAATGTTAGCTAGCCCACAGGCTATAAACCCTAACATAGATTTGGCCTCTGGATATTGATGATACAAGTTACATATAAAACTCCCCAGAGTTTGAAGAAACCTCTTCAGGGATGTTCACAGCATGAACATTTTTAGAACGTCATCCTTAAATATTCAATATTTTAAAAACACACACACATTTAGCTTATATTTCTTTCAGAATGTTGGCAATCAGCCTAAGATATTCTGTAATTATAAAGATTTCTTCAGATCAAAATATACCAAAAAAAATCACTGCTCTGGTAAGAGGCTAGTGGAACTCCCAAAACTGTAGACTTTAGGCACTCTTCAAACAGGGAACTTAGGACACCTCTGTAATCACCAAACAATAGCAGACCTATAAAGGGAACAGTAACACTCATGAGGATCACACTTCTCAGAGAATTCAACCAAATGACAGCAAAAGGAGCCCCGAAGGCAGGGGCAGGCAGGAAGGAGGGATAAATGGAAATGGCGAACCCAGGGAGGAAGCGGGAAGACCGCTGCTACATTGAGAAGATTGCATGAAACAAAATGTGTATAGAATGTTGAATGGAAAAATAATTTGCTCTGTAAACTTTTACCCAAACCACACTTATAAACAATATAAAAATCCCATACATTTATACAGTGTAAGTTTAAAGTAAATTGATGTTATTTCTACAAGAAAATAATAATAATAAACTAGCTAAAAGAAAGACCTGGGCAATGTACTTACAAAATATTATGTAGTGGAATATTGTCTGATATAGTGCCAAAATATGAGCCCATCAGGTACTTGTTGTAGCGCCATCAGGTTGTAGTGCCATTGAGTCAGTACCGACTCATAGTGACCCTATGCACAACAGAACCAAACACTGCCTGGTCCTGGGCCAACCTCACAATTGTGCCATGCTTGAGTCCATTAATGCTGCCACTTTGCCAGTCCATCTCACTGGGGGTCTTCCTCTTTTTCTCTGACCCTCCACCTTACCAAACATGATATCCTTCTCCAGCGATTGGTCTCTCCTGACAATATGTCCAAAATATGAGAGATGGAATCTGGCCATCCTGGCCTCCAAGGAGCACTCTGGCTGTACTTCTTCCAATACAGATCTGTTTGTTTTTTGGCAGCCCATGGCACTTGAAATATTCTTCTCCAACACCATAACTCAAAAGTATCAATTCTTCTATGGTTTTCCTTATTCACTGTCTTGCTTTTGCATGCATATGAGGTTATTGAAAATGCCATGGCTTGGGTCAGGGGCACCTTAGTCCTCAAGCAGATGTCTTTGCTCTTCAACACTTTAGAAAGGTCTTGTGCAGCAGATTTGCCTAATGCAATACACCATTTGATTTATTGACTGCTGCTTCCTTGAGTGTTGATAGTTGATCAAAAAGAATGAAGTCCTTGACAACTTCAGTCTTTTCTCCGTTGATAAGAATGTTGTAGGACATTCAAAGTACGACTAGGGAAGTACAGTCAACCTCAATGACTTAGATAGAGTAAGGCTTTCAGGACCTTCATTTACTGATGGGGCAACACTCAAAATGAGATTACACGTTATAAATATTTTTTAATAATCAGACCATGAATGTGCTCAGGATGAATGTAGGGTAATTATGAAATGGAATACATACAGACAACATTGTCCTTGATAGAATAATAACCATATGTCTAGTTAATATGACTATTCTTCAAATTTACACACCAGCCAATTAGGCCAAACATTAAGAAGCTAAAGATTTTACCAACTTTAAAGCTGAACAGAAGACAAAAATCAAGTATTTTAATGAAATGTGAAAAGACCAAAAGGATAAACCATACTCTGCATTTCTCAGTATGGATAGCACCTGAATTAAAGAAAAAAATCAGCTGTAGAATTGTAATATTGAAGGATTTCATTGCCAAAATATGATGAATACAGTAAGCATCTCAAGAAAGTAGAAGGAATACACAGTCACTGTACTAAAAAGACTTGGTCAACGTTCAGCCATTTCAGGAGGTAGCATACGATCAAGAACCAGTGATATTGAAGGAAGAAGTTTAAGCTGCACTGAAGGCATTGGTAAAAACCAAGGCTCCAGGAATTGACACAATACCAATCGGAATGTTTCAACAAACGGATGCAATGCTAGAAGCAGTCACTTGCCTATGCTAAGAAATTTAGAACCCAACTATACCAGGCCAACTAAATGGAAAAGATCCCTATTTGTGCCCATTCCAAAGAAAGGTGATCCAACAGACTACAGAAGTTATCAAACAAAATTGTTACTATCCAATACAAGTAAAATTTCCCTAAAGATAATTCAAAAACGGTTGCCCCAGTACATTGACAGGGAACTGCCAGAAATTCAGGTCAGATCAGAAAAAGACATGAAATGAGGAATGTGTCAGATGGATCTTGGTAGAATGCAGAGAGTACCAGAAATATGTTGACCTTGGCTTTATGTATCCAAAGGCGTTCAACTGTGTGGATCATAACAAATTATGAAGAATGGGATTTCCAGAACTCTTAATTGTCCTCATTTGAAACGTGTACATAGACCAAGAGGCATTCGTTCAAACAGAACATGACTGCCACATGGCTGCAATTGGGAAAGGTACATCAGAGTTGTGTCATTTCACCATACATATTCAGTCTATATGCTGAACAAATAATCTGAGAAGCTGGGCTGCATAAAGAAGAAGGCAGCATCCAAATTGTAGGGAAACACACTATCTGCGATATGCAGACACACAACCTGACTCAATAATAGCCCTTAACAACAACAACAATTGAAACTTTGGAGTCCTGGTGTGGTGCTATGGGATAACACACTAGATCACAAGATTGGTTTGAACTAAAAGGTCAGAGGTTCAGATTCACCAACCGTTCCTCAGAAACCCTATACAGGGTCGCTGTGACTCAGAACTAACTCGATGGCATTTAACAGCAACATTGATACTTTGATATGAGATTCTGGAGGTTAGGAGAGAGGTCTAAGCAAGGGATAGAAGTTTCAGAATGGTGAGCATTTAGGTCGTTTTTAGAATCATGGGAATCAATGGGATGGTATTATTTTAAATGTGAAATTTGAGACCCTCAAAATATTTATTAAATTGTAAACATAACAGAGTCATCAGTGTTAATGTTTTATACTGCATATAGGAGAAAAAAGTGCCAAAGATCTTTTAATATGACTAAGAAAACTCACAAAAATTTGTACTGTTTAAGAATGCAAAGATATTATTTCATAATTATTACAGGAAAATTATTTATCAATAAAGACCACTAATAATAATTTTAGAATGATTTTGGAGATTATTTTCATAGGATGCAAGACTCTGAAATCTTGTTTGACCCATTTGCTCAAATAATACCTCCAAGGATAGATCTGGTTTAACAAAGAACAGAACATGATAGTAGCAGGCATTGATATACATCTCCATGTCATAACAGAGAATAAGATTGGTATTCCTGTGAATGTTCTCAACTTTATAGCTTATCATTGGATTTGTTGGTAGGTGGACAGGGAGAAGAAGAGAGACCAGCAAAAGGTGGGGCTGATAACGTAAGGTGGGTTAATGCACTGGACTGCAAGATCAGTTTGAAACACAAGGTTGGTGAGTCCACCTCACCAGCCACTCTTTGGAAACCCTATACAGGGTCACTATGACCCAGAACTTTGCTGAAAGCAGAGAATACCACAAATATGTTTACCTGTGCTTTATTGACTACACAAAGGCCTTCGATTGTGTGGATTATGACAAGCTATGGACAACATTGGAACACTTAATCAGGAACCTGTACATAGACCAAGAGGCAGTTTTTCGAACAGAACATGGGAACACTTAATGGTTTAAAATTAAGAAAGGTGTGCGACCGAGTTGTATTCTTTTACCATACTTAGTCAACCTGTATACCGAAGCAAATATTCTGAGAAGCTGGGTTATAGGAAGAAAAATGTGGCATCCAGATTGGAGGAAGACTCATTAACAACCTGCAGTATGCAGATAATACAACCTTGCTTGCTGAAAGCAAAGAGGACTTAAAATACTTAACTGATGAAGATCAAAGACCATAGCC